GTGTGGACGAAAGGGGCCACACGCTGACCTGACAAGCTCAGGGAAGGCCTGCGTGGCAGCCTAGCAGACTCAGAGACCTAAAGTAACCACAAAGGATGGTCTGAAATTAAACTTTAACTAAAAGCAGTTATGGTGGGCAGTTATGTCCTAGGCCAGTATCTTCACTGACAAGATCAACTTTGATCCTTACTGAGCCCATTTGCCTTTTTGCCTCTAAGATAACATACCCTTGAAATGTCTGGGTAACTTGTAACTTCCCTTTTTTCTGGAGCCCCTGGGGCACAACCAAATGTTCTGGGCGCCAGGACAGATACTACAAATTCCTTCATTATCATGTTAATTGATCCTGCACCCACCTAAGTATGTGTCCATCATTTTACTTTTATCCTATCACAGAGGTTCCCCCCCCCTTCACTTAATCCCACCTCCTTAAATCTCTCACCAATGAATTTCATGTATAAATTCGGATGTAACCCTGCCATTCTCCGGAGCACTATCTCAATTCATTGAGGTTCTGCTTCCCGGCATATGTCGACAGTTTGGCTCAAATAAACTCACAAAAATTCAAAAAAAAAAAAAAAAATTTTTCACCCTTCTCTGGTTAGTCCTCAACCTCCACTTTGTCATCTCACTGGACAACCTATATTTTGGGTTTTCATGGAAAACAACATCCTGATTTTAGCCTGGATGGTCGCTTCAGACCCCAGAAACGGCGGCAGGGAGCCCAGAGCCTTCCCCCGTGTGTCTGGACGCTGCTCTGGGATGCTTTCCCAATGGCCATCCCTTCACTCAAAAGGAAGAGGAGATGGGCATGGAGAGGCCACCTGCTTTCCGGATCATTCATTAGATTTGCTGCTGGTGATCTTAAACGACAGACAAAAATGGTGTATTCTTTTCCTATCCCAATGGCCATAGCTTCAAGGTCAGCATTAGGGCGAATCAGTAAGCAAAACAAATCTACTTGTTATTGTGATCATTCTTGAGTTAGATTTTAAAGGCAAGTATTTCCTCTGAATAACAGGGTAGCAATGTACTGTGAAAATGAACATCAAAGGACAATGCTATTTGTAATGATACAGAAATTCAAAAAACAGTTTTAGAACAGGTGAATGGGCTTTGATGAGCTAAATCAAATTTAAAATCAAGAAAATATTAAATATTGTTCAACCCTTAGCAAATTTGGTAGTATTAAAAAGAATAAGTTATAATTCCTCAAACCCGTAGTTTAAATTTATGGATCAGTGTTACAGGCAAGCATCTTTAAAATGTCGGCACAGAATTGTTGTCATAAATCTTATTTCTTGCTGATTCACCTGTTTTTGACCAATACTTCTTGGACCAAATTGTTCATCAATGTCAGAAAATAAGCCTGGTTATTCCTGGAGACAATCATGTGACACTGGTCAGTGAGAAGGCAATCTGGCCTCGATGGCCAGCGGTGGTTCTGTCACAGAGGCCCTCCAATTAGCATGTACTCACCTGCACCGTGCAGCTGGCCATAGTACATGGCCCCATTCCGGCTGCCTGCCAAGTGCGTAGGGTTTTAATCTAGTATCTGGACGCGGAGAGAAAGGCTTATGTTGTTAGTGATGATTATAGTTGGTAACGTGAACGACCTAAAACGAAATAATCTGGCGCACTTTCAATGAAAGCATTTTAATTCATTGAAATCTCAGAATTGCAGCCCTGCCGCCGACTCCAGAAGCAGGCAGTAGGCGGCGCCTGGCAGCTCTTTGGGGGAGAGCCGGCGCCATTTACGCAGGACCAGCCTCGGCGGCAGCAGGCACTCGGCGGCGCAGAAGTCGGAGACCCGAG